GGGTTTAGTTCGGCGGCCGTTATGCCACAAAGTAAATTTACCGAGTTGTGTAGCTCGGCGGCCGTTTTGTCACAAAGTAAATTTACGAGTTGTGTAGCTCGGCAGCCGTTGTGCCACAAAGTAAATCTACCGAGATGTGAAGCTGGACGGCGCCATTTGACCATGACTTGTGATATTTTCGGCACCGGACAAACGAACACTTTAACTCTATGTTATTTATTAGGAAAAACTTATAAATCAGCCCACAGTAGCGCCACTCTCGAGTCACTGAAATCAACGCGCTCGACCAAATTACTGGAAAAGTTATTGACGTGAGCCGCACACACGTTCCATTGAAGGCTTTGATAGGGTTAGTGCGAAGTTTGAAGTCAGATGTGAAAGCTTTTAAACCAGTAAATTCAATGTAATTCATTTTGTCAACAAGTTGAGGATTGGATGCTGTTAAAAATAACAGAGAAAATTATCCGAAGAAATGTTTTTGAAGAAAGAAAAAGAATCCCGGGTTAAGAACTAATCGGCCTTTGAGAAACTACGCCCTGTGACTCGCGCCAGTAAAACAAAATGTTCCATTTACACGTCCGACGCTGGCCAATGTCTCCTCCGATTAAAAGCACTTGACACCGAACCATACGATATCTTTTGAAAACGTTCTTAAAATGATACACAGTTTAAATACGCAACCCTTACGTTCAAAATATGCCATAATCATATTTATCTACATCGTAACCACCCTTCCGCCTCTACAAATTAAACATATCGAACGCACTCTCCTAAGCTCCGATTACTCCTAGTAACTAATAAAACTTTTACTCTCTTGAAAATGGAACGCGTAGATGATGAGAAAGCTTGAAGGAGTAAAATTAATATTAGTGTCCAAGATATCAATATTTGGTATGACAAAATTAACCATCAAACACTAAAAAAGAAAGTGTTGTTATACAGCTTGGTGTCACAACCTTCGAGCAATCATAAGCTTCTTTTGATGATAATATTTCATTTATAATCAGAGGATTTATAATATACTCAACCGAACGTTTCTGATTGGTCAATGAGGAAAGCATTAACAGTCTACGACGTAGTGCAAATAGAGGTTACACAATGCAATACCGAAGTGTCTTTGGAAACAATAGCAAGGAAGAACGAAATTTGAAAACACAAGCAAAATGGCTGAAAGCTGGACAAAAATATTGTTAACCATATGAAATTGCTTGTGCCATTTTAAGACCTTTCAAAACTGCATCACTTGTACCCATATACAACGAAATGCACGGTTAATACTGTACTAATTAAATGTGTGGTTAGTAATTTATTACATCTATGGTTGATTTTTATTTCATATATAGTGGGTATTAAATTTATGGTTCAATTTTATAACGTATATGTTGTTTTTAAACACATAAATTAAAATTTATGGCAACAGTAAAACCCGCGAGTAAGAACCTGCATTTTCCTAACTTAGCCAAAAGAGGTTCTTACGTTAATGTTAATTAGCACAAATTTAGGCTATTCAAAGGTTCTTAAATAGGTTCTTATTTTTTGAAGAAAAAACTAAATTGTAGCTAAGAGTATTTAATGCCTGTATACAGCTTATTCCTTTAATAAAAAGAATCTGCATACCAAATTAGTATTTATGGAAAAATATGCAAAAAATGCGGTAAATTATCTGAAACAAAGTTCCTTATTGTTCATCTTCACTTTCTTCAGTGTCATTCACCTTGTAGAACCTTTTTTGTGCGTGTGCTAAAGGAGAGGTCATCTTCAATTCCGGTCTGAGGTTTCACTAGGAGGCCGTAAATTGCTTGGTCAGAACTTTTAACACCGGGGTTAAATTCGTCTTAAAACATACAAGCAGTCCTAGGTTAGAAAGGGCTAAGTTACATGGTATTTAAAAAACGTTCTCCAGCTTTATTTTTAATGACACAAATACTGTCAACTGTTTATGAGACGGAAACCGTTGGTACCGAGACAGAAACCAACAACAACAACAACAACAACAACAACAACAGGGACTCAAGCTACCCGTTTTAGGAAAGTGTTTGTGCTGTGAACGGTTAAAGAGAGTTCACTCCACGCGTGTCTCGGAAGATGTTTCTACACAATGTCAGGATGCGACTGTTTCGAGAAAATGAACATCGCAAATGTTTGAAACTTACTGTATGAGGACAATACCAATTTTCTCTTTTGGCTGTGCTCCACTTTTCCTCGCTTCACTTAAGAGGATAGTGTATGTTTTGGTTCAGTTTTTGTCTTCGAGAAAGATTTATTTTCCTTTTGTTTCAAACTTATTATTATCATCATACGTTGGCATATCCACTAGCTAATAAAAACTGAAGCAAATTTGATCTAAAGTGAAAACTGAACCACATTACTTATTCCGCCACTCCTTCTGGACCAAGAACATAAAAATCCGTGCGCACGGATTGTCTAAATCTTGAGCATAATATTTAGCTCCTGGCTCCTTACTATAGCTCACTTCTATCAGATAGCGACACGATAACTGCGTTAAAGGCTTTGGGAGACAAAACACAACACATCGTATTCATACAATTCCCTTAAGTTTTATTCTTGCCTGAACGGCAAAACGAACAAAATTGAGTTACTTAGGACTGCTTTTCAATTCATTGACGTCATCCTCCTTGTAACTCTATCCGAACACACAGGCACACAAGTGTCGTGCTAGCCAAAAAAATAGTAAGAATAAGGTACCTCCGTAACCCTATCGGAAGACGTCGTTGCGATGTATTCAGTAAGCCTTGCCTAGAACATAATTCACCTTAGAAGCTCGGAGAAAAAACTTTCTACTATATTTTATGATCTATCTGGTATATCTTAAAATCGACATAACATTAGGTTGCGCACAGTTTTCTGACAAGCAAAAGACAAGATTATCTTTTGTTAATCTTCCTTAGATTGGCTTCCAGTCTGGAGAAATCACGAATTTCGGATTGCTTTGTAAAAGAACTTTCGTTTTACAAAATTCTGGAAAGTTAAAACTTTAAAAATGAGAACTGCATTTTAAAGGAAAGGTAAGGCTTTTGGAGAATGACGGTACGCAATTATTCAGTCTTTGTTAATTTACGAGCCGTTTTAATTGGCTTTGGGAATTGTCGAGATTGTCTTTTGCCAATATTGCTTTTTAACAAGTGCATCCTCAAAGTAAAGTGTTGATTGATACGATTCAAGAGCTAGTTCAGTGCCTTTCAACGTTTAAGCAGACAGATCTACCGAAATACTTAACAGTGAGTGTTCTCCGTTTCACGAAATATGTAGACAGTCCAATAATAATGCAAATTAAACTGATGAAATATATCGGCACTTTTACCATTGCACGTTTGTCACTGATTTTCACTTGATGCTGGTTTACGCTAGGGTGAAAATTGAGGTTTGTACAAAACGTATTTTTTTTGATGTCGTTTTGCAAAACAAGAGGTGATTATAATTCGCTGAACTAGTGTTTTCTCTTTCTGATTTCAGACATAATGAATTCTCCAATGAGGTGTGTAATGGTTGCGCTCGGAATTTTGATGGTTTCTGTGAAGGGATTGTATGGTAAGGTGCCGTGCTCGAACACACCTAGGTATACATTAAGAGCACAATCCCGATTCCCTGTAACCCTGACGGTTCCTCGAACCTCCCGATATTTCGAACAAGACTGACTTGCCTTTTCAATTCAAACTATGTAATTTTCCCCCTTCATTTTTTAGAACCTTTCAATAATTCGAAACAATTTTCTTTTCCCGAGGAGGTTTGGAAACTCGTTATTCCACTGTGTAATACACTAAATAAATTTGTTCAACCTCGTTCCCAGATCTTCTCTCTACAGCTGTAATTCATAAGAAGCTGACTTTGACCACGTTCAAACTAGAGAAACTTGTGAAAACCGTCTAAGTAAAGTCCTTCTAATCTTACCAACGTTGCTATTTTGATATATTATCAGGAGTATTCACTAAAATATGTTCTACGGGCCGTCAGTCCCCACCATTTTCAAATGAAAGCACTTTTACACTTTAAAGGCAAAAAATCATCAAGCGCAAAAGCTATATAAAAAACTAAAAAGGACATATCTCCTTTAACGTTCGCTTATGTTTCCACTTCTTGGTGAAGGACCCACTCACTCTCGAAAAAGAAAAAAAATCAAACAGTCAAGTTTTCTTTTTTTTCTCTTCATTATCTTGCCTATTTTAGAAACGTTTCTTTTCGTTTCTGGTCGTTTCGCTACAGTTTATTTCGCTGCTTGTCAAAATCTTAAACAGTCCCGAACAGTTAGCTGTGTGTTATTAACGGAAAAGGGCGCACTTAACGGTACCGTGCACTTTCCAAGTAATTTGCTTCAAATACGGATCAAGCATTTGAAATGCAAAGAAATTTCAATTGCTTGCTTAGTTTATACTTCCCGACTTTTTAATAGAGAGAGTATAAATTATGAATTCCTGTTTTTCCCCCCATCAGTCGGATATATAAGACGTGACAAGCTTCATGAAGACAGCGGGCTCCGAAAGGGCCATGGAACGAGTTAAAGGATTTCGATCTCATAAATCACCGTCCAATATTCAGTGACAAAGAAGTAAACGTTTTTATCCGAGTGGTAATGAGTAGAAATTTGGAGCACTTTAAACTAGCTACAGATACAAAGGATGATCATAACAAATATCAAAAACAGAAATTCGCTCTAAAGTCAAACGCATCAGTCAGCTGATATAAAGTTTTTGCTTTTTTTGTCCCCCAGCTTTCGATCGCGACAATTTTGGGATTGGTGCGCCATATCCTGCTAACATCTATCCAATTGAGTTCACTTCTACCCAGGTTACCTGTGTAGCCTTTGATTCAGCTGGAATAAAAACTCCTGAAAGGATACAGTTCATGAGGAAGGACAACTATGCGCGTTATACAAATATAACTGCTAATGCAAACATATATTTCACACACCGAACCGAGGAAGTGGACAAGGGTAAGCCGATGTCTTATAAAAATAAAACCTAAAAGTGACTCTAAGTATTGCAACTGAGTATCCCATTTTATATTTGATATTACACCGCTATTACACAACGAGAAAGCGCGCTTTACATTAGTGATCTGAATTAGCCTTCGTTCCAACGTCACCGTCTTCCGTCAACCAAAGAGCGGCACGTTGTCTTAACAATCATCAGGTTTTACCCAGCATTCCTTAGTCATGAGGGGAACACGTATCTTTAAATTGACCATTTCCGCGTGCCATAAACTCTCACGTTCAAAACGAGGCTAAGAACAAACCCTTGTGAAAATGAGTTTTATTTGCACGAGAATGAAAAATCATTTTCCGAAATCAACGGCTTCGCAGTTAGTCTCGCTTTGAGACAGAGGCTTGGAGAAACTCGGAAATGGCGTATTGCTATTACACTGTTAGGAATCTGTCAAGTTTTTTATATACCTTATCCTGAAATAATACAATGACAAACATGCAAGCTATTCGACGATGTGCATATAATTATGTAACCTACTAAGAGTCCCAACACTTCTACAGATGGAAAGAAGATAAAGAAGCTCTTTGTCACGATGCACATACGGAATGTAACGTTAGAGTACGATAGTACGTATGGTCTATTGGGAAGGTACGAATGTCACGCTTTTGCCGTTGGATCACCCTTGGAACGCAAGCATGGTTTCAGTGTGAACGTCATTTCGAGTAAGTTTAATCTTAACATGAACAGGACACCCAATGACTGTTTTCTGTAAAATATCTGTTCGGAGAAGTAAACATTGACCAGAATTTTCTTTAACTTGAGGACGGCTAAACATTTCTACATGACGGTTCAATGCATGTACAATTTTCGAAGCTTGTCTAATAAATTGCCTACGATTTTCTGAAGTTTAATTTTCACATTTGTCTCCCTAAGTTAGGTTATTTTTCTTAGAAAAAGGAAATTTAAAATTTTGGCGGGATTAAAAGATGTGATGGAGAGAGGAATCAGAAAAATTCTCACTTCCGTTATAAGTTTTATACCACTACATAAGAAATTTTTGCAATTTGATTGACTTAGAGCAGTGGTATTTCAACTTAATTTGAAAATTACATGTGAAAATTACAAACCTTTTTGCGGGTAGTAGTAAAAACAAATAATAGCATAATTTGTACGTGATATTTGGCATAAATACCACTCGTGATCTTTCAAAATTGTCTCATATTTCACTCGCCTTAAGTCTCGTGACATTACGTATAACCATTTCGAAATATCACAAGTGGTATTTATGCCAAATATCACTACAATTCATGCTATTACCTATACAAATTACATCTACAAGTTTTCGGGAAAATAATACTGAGGCCCCTGTAACTTCGAAAAGCCCAAGTCCCTTTAGGATGACCGAACAGACACAAATTTTACAGCGCTGCTTAGAATGCATTTCTAGAGATCTAAGAGTACTCTGGATAACCTAAAGGGTGTCTTCAATGTATTCGTCGTTGAGTGCCCCTGTCTTAAATCTAGAAACGAGTAACGCAAAACCTCGCGAGGCAGGAGAAATAAAGGGGGAAAAAGCTAATAGAAAGCAAATATGAAAAAAAATCTTCTCAACCGTGAATCGAACCGGTATTGTTTGCTTCCCTGTCGACTGCCCCGGCAGACATTCAATGAAAGCAAAATCAAATCAAATCAAAATCAATTGCAAATCCTTTATTGAGACACATAACACCCTGGTTCACCAATTGCAAAGATGACGTTAAAACGTGTACGTGTGTGCAAAATTAAAAAAAATGTAAAAGTATACATTACTACCATTAAAATAGTTACTATAAATAGATCAACAAATTGGCTAAAAGTAGAATCTAAAATTATGGCTATTTACAGAATTTACAAGCCCTACACCATGTGAGCTTTAAGAGATCGCTTAAACGACGCAATGTCATGTGACTCCCTGATTATCATAAGAATTTATTTAAAGCAATTTTCCGCAGACATGCTGCTGCTAAACGCCGTTTTAAAGCTGGCCGATGGCGGAGCCGTATTAGGAGGCAGTCTCTCTAAAAGCGTTCCACTCGATTTCGCACTCGAAAAACTTTTGCCTTATATTTTTATCATCAACACTACTATCCATCCTAATAACGAAATTGCAGTTAGAATGAGGAATTTGCTAATTTTACTGCCATTCCCAGCATTTCATTGCTGGACGACCGTTAGCGGCTAAAATATGCAAATTTTAGATGCCGTTTTACAGGTTTTTTAACGATCGTTTATAAGTACTTCGGGTCATCAAATCCTAGACTGTTCGCACTCATTTGGAAGCATATTACTTCTTTTTACTGTTCCAATACCATTTAGGCATTGTCTTTCTCTAATCAGCAAAAACTGGTCGTCTTTATTTCACTAACCGCAAAATGCACGAATAAATGCCTCAAAAACTTGACAAAATTCTCAAAAGTGGCACCTAAACTAGACCTAAAAACATGTTTTAGTTAGAGATTAAGAGCTATTTTGTCAAGTTATGAAATAAAACTCTTGGCATAATGCGATTCAGAATTGAAGGATTCGACTTGCGTATTGAATTTGCATATCGATGCTGAATTCGCATTGCGTGACACCGGCCGCTGTGATTGTAAAAAAATTCTTCATGATCCTACAAATGACAATTTTTCTGTTTGTTTTTTTTTTGTTTACTTTATTAACAAGAAAAATCGGAAATAGGTTAAGCTTATAGAAGATTAAGTCTACTTTTCCACTGACCTTCGTATTAATAGTCTCGGCCGGCCGTCCTTTGTTCGACTCCCAGTAGTTGGCCTTCTTGGTAGTAGGGTGGGTCGGGAAAATACGCATTACTCCCTACCCCATCCCTTCGCCCTTTTCTTACTCGCATCTCTCGGAGAGTCGCCCCCACAGTCTGAACGCCTGGAAGAGGCTATTCGACATACTCCAATCGCGTTTTAAACAAACAATTTTGTTTTACAGATAACATTAACGAGAAGCATTAACATTTTGCAGCGAGAAGGTCCTTCACACATTCACCTTTACACTTTATATATGGGACGATGGTACACGGTAGTCCTTGAAGAAAAATTAAGAAAATATATGGACTGGAGTTCAAAGAAGTAAAATCAACAACCCGCTAATCACGTCTACGCCACAATAAGTCTCGTACTTATAAATTCTTATCAAGTAAATTGTTATTTTCCCTTTAAAAAAATGAAATCAGCTGTGAAATGTACATTGAATTAAGTTAGTGTCCGGATACCTTTAGGAATTTGACATTAGTATTGAAAATTTTTAGATGTATAAATCTACCGACCTTCGATCACAAATTACCAGTGCTATGCTGGTAATGCTGTAAGCTATCATCAATTCCGCGATGGACAGTGAGTGAAGTGAATGAGTAGCCTGACAGAGTTCGGTTGTAACCTGTTTATACCACCACTAAATAAAACCGTTAGCCTGTCAAGTTGTTAAGCTTTGAACAACTAGGAGATTTATATTTGACTGTTTTAGGGAAATTTGTACCAGATCTTCGTTTCCTCTCATGCAATCTCGCTCGTTTTTTGTTTTTATTTTTGTATTTTTTTTCATAAGATTTGTGAAGTATTTGAGTCTTTATATTCTTTGTCATAGCATCTCGGTATGCTGAGACATAAAAGCAATAAGATCCTCTCTGAGTGGGTCAACAACATTATCCGCGGTACCCTGGCGTATCAAATGAGCGCTGCACGGGAGTAGCAAAAACGAAATGATAAACGCGGTGGCCCCTAATTTAGTAACATCGATATTAATATGAATTTGGATCCACACGGAGGATCCAAAGGCCAAGTTTTAAAAATGTGATCCTAGATCCTTCAGCTGTTGTTCAGATGTATGTATTTTTACAACATTAACGTGGTAGAATGAAAGCGTCTGTAAGAACAGGGTAATAACCGCTAACAAGACGTGAGACGAGAAAAGACGTAAAAACAGTGTAGGGATCTCGACCTGGAGAAATGTTCATACTAGGGAAGTCTTTGATAATGCCGGATTCAGACTTCGCGTCAGTTCTCACCTCTACTAATTGTTCGAATTCAGAGGTTTTTGTCCACGTTGGGCTTCAATAGAAAATTCTGTCGGTGAATTCTCCATTGTACCAAACAATAGTTATGAGTGCTCTCAGTAATGCCTAAAGGTAGGTAATCACGATTTTGACAATTCATGTAACTTCGACTCCACAAGGATTAGATTATCAAAGGATGCGCTTATCACTTTCTGTTTCACGCGTGTATCTTGTGATATTCAAATCCGTCAGCTCATAAATGATATCAAATGTGCAAGTGCATCAGCTGACCGTGTAACTTTATACCATAGTGCAACAGTGATTAATGTCAGGATATTTGACGTAAAGCCTTTTCCTACTTTTCTCCATAACTTCATTATGTTTGGATCTTCACTTCCCGCATATTTCTAAATAAAATAATTGAGTGGACTACTGAGTTTATCATTGTCTGAACCTGAAATTACGATTACAACAATACCCATCGGCCCTAAGGAACTAGTGATAAGGATGTTAGAAATGATTTTACGATATTTTACGTACTTGATCCCATCCTTTAAAATAGATGGTAAACGATCTTCGCAATCTCCAAACCAATTACAAGCATGTCCCTGGTCCTAATATTCCTTTCTTGGTCCTCTATGCGAAGAACGAGGTGGCCGCCAAAATCGTCCGAGTTTATATGCGATTTTTGTGGGTAATCCCCGGGAGGACTCCCATATAAAAGTGAAGGGGCTGCTCTTCGGAAAATTAATTTAAACCCCCAAGGGAGGCCAATGTGGGTGTGGCTCAAGCTTTAACTTACCCCTAAAGGAGATTTCTGTCAGGTCAGCGTCACGGCTTTTTCTTTTTTTGCAAATTTCTTTATGCACATCCCTAAGCGATACCTGAATGAGCATATTTAGTTACTTTCCGTCCCAAACAACCGAAGTGAGACCAAAATCTGCAAACGACGAGCACCCACGTCACTTTTGTATGGGAGTCCTCCTGGGGAAGCAGATCACCACCTGTTCTACTTGATTTTTCGTAAGGTCAATGATTACAATCTTTTGAGAGCATTGGCTCTGCCTCACTTAGTTCAGACTTCGATGGATGACAGGTTTCATGGTGAGAAGTAATGGTGTCCTGACATTCGTGTACTTTTATCAGTTAGGAAAAACCGCGTGAACTTCCACACTTTATTTTCATGTTACTTTCACTGATGTTGCACGATTCGAAACTAATGTTGAAACTTTATTATTTGCGTGTGCCAACTTCTTTATTAATACAAAACTAAACTTGGACTCCGGACTGTCTCTTGGAGCATGAAAACAAAAGCTGGCCACTCTCAATAGGAAGAAACAGTCAGTAAAAGGAACAAACCTTCTAACTGAAATTTCATTAACAAAGGTCTTCAAATGTGGGCTCCCGATCAGTGGAAAGTAAACAAAGGAAAAATAGTAATTCACCGTTCACAGTCCAGTACTGTCGGCCCACGTTAGCGAATACAAGACAGTCTTGGATTCTGGTCCCATTCCGTGGATTCTGGATTCCGGGTGCTGGATTCCAGTCTTTTCCAATGGAACTTGGATTCTAGATTTCATTCCTTAGTAGGGTACTTGAGCTCTTTTCTGGATTCCAAAGCCCTGAATTCCGGATTCCGCAAGCAAAATTTTCCAGATTCCGGAATCCCGATACCCTTA